ATGGGCATGACAGGATTAGATATAACTTTGCATATACAAGTTTGATAACATTATTCATATGTTAACATGTTTTAAAGTCATTCATTCTTTCGAATCAGTGTGCACTAGAATGTTTATCCTAGTGCAATGCTTTGCTCCTTAGACTTCCATTGCAAGTGCATTACTGTAAACCCTTTTTTTTTTTTTCAAAATCAAAGTCAAAATATTCCTGCCTTCTTTTCCATTCAACACCAATGCATGCAGTATTTCAGCATGTTTTATCCTCCCATTTCTGCAATTGCAGCTATTTGCGAAATTATCTTTCTTGCGTGGGTTGTGCACCGGCACGGCTCCAGCGTGGATGGATCTAATGTGTGGCTGTCAGTCACCGCACCGGTGTGGATATACTGCACTTTGTATTCACAGATTCTACATCTTGAAAGTATGACCCAAATACAAGTTTCCACTTTTGTTCTGATCAACTGAGGAAAAAAGCATTACAATAAATTGCGCTATCAATGGTGATTAAATCTAAAGATCGGTTAGCTCATATCACATCAAACCGTGCCAATTATTATTATTGTCATACAGTGTTTTCAAATTCAATCCATCATTTATTCCAGCTGCTGTGAGAAAAGGCTATAAACAATCCATCACCTGCAGCATCCTCACATGCGATATAGCATTCTAGCCAGGACCACTTCTTTATGTTTACAGACGTTAAATTTTGGATTTTTAGATTTTTGATAATTTTTAAACAAAAAAGTTACGGACTGCAGCTTTAAAAAGCAATGCTGTGCTGTCTATATTGGTTCTGACAGGAATGGCGCAGCACACTTATGTGAGTAAAAATATTTGTACTATGTATCACTATTGCTTTGTTAGAGATCGCTTGATATGTCCTGATTATGTGTCTAACCAAAGTCACAGAAGGCTCCAACTATGAAGTTAGTTTGTAGTTAGTTTACTATGCAAAACTGTTTTCCAATCATAGCAGTGGGCGTTTACTTCCAATTGTTATCCAATGCGGCACGCCCATAATAACCGAGCGTTTTTTGAGCCGGCCTCAAAACCAGGGTAGAAAATAGCCTATAACTTATTGATTTTGATGTTTTTTAATGTAAAAACCACGCTAACGTCATAAGTGGACCTCAGACAACAGTATAAAATAATAATTAAAAAAAGACAGTTCATGACCCCTTTAAATATATTTTAATGCCCTTATAGATTTTGGGTCTTAAAAAACATTCAAACGTTCCTTCTGGCATCCTCATTTTTTAGGTCCTATATGATTCGATTCTAGAGATATTTGAATTTCACCATGGCTCCAGGAGTAAATTGTTAAATTGTAAATTTTCAGTGGTCAAAAAACAAATATGGGTCACTTTGCATAAATATGATACTTCTTTTCTTTTAAAAAGGAATGTCTGAAGGACAAATAATGTTGAAACTAGAGATGCATTTAATTTCCTTCTGTCAAAACAACTGCATTGAACATACCTGTCTGAGTGCCATAAATATAATTTTTTCCAAAGTTTGCGTACCTATAACTCAAGAAGTATTAAAGATATCGCGATATGATTTTAGATTCTAGTTCTTGATAAACTCTTCTTTTGGAATCTTCATTTTCAAGGCCCTTTATCATTCAGTCCCAGAGACATGGGGATCTCAATTAGGCTCCATGTCCAGATTGTTGAATATTACTGAATATTGTTGAATATTGAAAATGCATTTTCAGTGGTCAGAAGTTGGTCACATTGTTTACAGCCAATACTTATTGTATTTAAAGCAGAATGTCTGAAGAATAAGAAATGTTGAAACTAGAAATGCATCTTGTTTCCCTCTATCAAAACAAATGTATAGGATGTACTTCACAATTCTTGAATCCTGAAGTACATACCCTGTAACCTCACACCCCATTCATTCAAAGATGCCACCTGACACCTCATCACAATGATGAGAGAAACAATTAAAAGGACACTAATATCTTTGAGGACACTAAGAAAAGAAGACAAGAAGGCAGCGGTATACCCAGACTATCAGTGCTCTATTTATTTCTATACCAAGAAATTGTTTAATCAGCCATTAAAGTGCTAAGCCGTATTTGGGATTAATACTACATTATTACGCAATATGCCTACTGGGCATGCCAGTGGTTCCCTTTCGAAAGGGAACTCCACGCTGCGTCCTCTAGAGGGCGCTAGGGGAACGCCTTCAGCGTGACCGGTGTCTGAAGCATGAATGAAAAAACGACAATGAACTTGACATTGGCAGGCGGCAGCCTATGACGTAAAGAATAAAGCGAATGCGGGTATAAAAGAGCACCTGCGAAAAACGTCATCCTCTTCTTTGTCTTTAAGCCTTGTGTACAGAAGCACATGCGTTTGACTCACGAGGGATAATGATGCGCTTACTGTTTGCATTCGCGGAACTACTAGAGCAGAGGTCTGTACTCGAGTTTTTGTCAGCGTTTGCACGAGCGCGTTCACCTATCGAGGGAGTTGAAGAAGCTTAATGCGATGCATTCGCGGCGGTTTCTGTTCTTGCCTGATTCTTGAGAGAATTTAGTGTTTGAACAGAGTGTGTTTGGCTCTCGA